ATACCACAAGTTAATAATTGTTTAATATATTTTAAAACTGGTGTAAAAGCTGTTATAATTGAGTTGTAAAATTACAAACTTCGTAGCGGTTTGACGTTTGACGTAAACGTCAATCTAAAACTAAGTACTGCGATTTCCAGTTGAGTATGGAATTACGCAAGTTTGTTCGTAGAGTTTGTTCGTTAACTTTTGTCGTTTGAAAACAATGTTTGTGACGTCATTCTATAATGTTACCAGGCGAGCACACAATGTTGTCAAGTAAAAACCGTTAAAAACTGTCAATCATTACAAAACGAAAAAATAAGTTTCTATTTATAGTCGTGAACTTGGCAGTATTTTACTTGACAACATTGTCAGCTCGCCTAACAACATTATAGAATGACGTCACAAACATTGTTTTCAAACGACAAAACTTGACGAACAAACTTCCGCAATTCCATAGTCAACTGAAAATCGCAGTATCCAACACTTTCATACTTCTCGCAGATTTTCAATTTCCAGACACACCTATACTTTTTTTTGTTCTTATAGTACCATCCATCAATGTTTCCATTTGTTACCTTATTGGCTATTAATCCTATTAGTACAATACTTTCGTTATTTCGCGATCGTTTGCAAAAATCCCAGCTGTTGTTTCGACTGCATGTAAATATATGTATATGTCAATATAAAATTGCAAATATCACATTCGAAATGGGTTAGCCATGCACTAGACTAAAGATCTTGATCAGGCTCGCCCCAATGGTATGTCTAAAACACTAAGCAAAATGATTTCGTGCTAAACGAAGTTTCAACTTTCAACGAAATTGAGTTCTTTAGTAAATTTCGCGTGTTATGAAACTGACTTGTTGATGGTGCTGTGGACCATTATAGCGCTAGCCATCCATTATAAAGGAAACTTTTGCTTCTATGAATAATGAGAATTGAGGCATGAAGCTATTGGTGTATTTAAGAAGCTAGGAAGGCTGACCAATTTCTATCCGGACAATGCGTTTTACGTCCCAACAATAACCAGTAAGGGGCGTGTCAGCAACACCCTTTCAACTCTAAGCGGTAACTGGAATTATATTTTGGCCGTCTTATTTGAAGCCATTCATGATGGACGTCATGTGGGTATGGCGCCGAAAATACCCATTACTTGCACTTTATTTGAGCAAGGAGGAAAGGTCAAAATAAACAATACCTATACTTCAACACGAAACAAGTTTTGGGACCGTCGAAAAGTTTTAAAGTTATTTTGTTGGGAGTCGAGAAGTGAAGAGTTATTTTTAGGCTCGTTCAAACTTGTGCAATATTTGGAATAGAAAACTGTTACCCCAGATGTATTTTGCACTTGCTGGATGTAAAATGCTTAGAACTATCCAAAATAATCAGGTTTAAACTTTTGAAATTGAAACTTTCTGGTCATAAAATTAATTTTTCGACTTATTTTGGCTTAAATGCTTAGAACTATCCAATTGAAACTTTCTGGTCATAAAATTAATTTTTCGACTTATTTTGGCTAAAAATGACAAGGTTTGGAGAGAATTTAACTCTTTCCAGTCCTCTTCTGAAAGTCAGAGTTTAAACGAATACAAGGAAAGTCGTACAAAGATTTTAAAAAGAGCGAAGGCTAACCAATCACATGGCTTATTACCAAAACCACGTATGCCTCCTCTCGCCCGAAAAAACCGTGTAGTCTTGTTTTGTGTCAAAACATTCAGGAATGTGACTACAGTCCTACGCCTTATTACTGCTAAAATCTCAAACGAATGTAGCTAATTTGGGCACATTTTCCCGCAAACCAATCAGATGTCGCCATATTCAAATTGGCGATTTCACGACTTTATAGGAATGTAGTCGCATTCCTCGATTTTTGATACGAAAACATGACACAGTTTAACTTGCCATAAACGAATACTTGCAATAGTCACCTTTAAACTTATTTAAAACAGTAACCCTTTCAAGGGATCTGCTTTGAATGGGCCTGTTTTGAAACAATATTACTACAATTTGTAAAATTGACAGCGAAAACTAATGTTGAATATTTACGTATTAGGTTACTCGCATCGAAATTGGAATTATGTTAAATAAATGCTTCTCTCCAAATTACAGCAATAATCGTAATTATGTTTGATGTTTAGAGGACACTTTCAATAGGGAAGCCTATTCCGATATGCAGTTCCACTGTACAAAATCGCGCCGCGTTTGCATGCCCATTATTCGTTTTTGTCAAGAAATTTAATTTTGGGCAATTCAACGTTTTACCTGAAATGGCTAAAAATTACACTTTCTTTTGAAGTACGCGAATTAACCACACTACATGCCCAGCCATCCAAGGATTTGTTCGGTCAATACTCAGTTCTGAGCGGACAATGTCGGATGACTGGCCGTTATTTCAAACTCTGTGGCACTGGTACATTTATGCATAGCATATGTACGATCCAATCATTGTTTTGAGATCAGTGTCGCTCGCATGCTAAGATCTGCAGCTATACTGTACTAACACAAACTTTCTTATTTCAGGAAGAAGCATTCGCTCTATGGCAACAACAGTGGGCAAGGTTATATCCAGAGGGATCCAAATCGCGTGAAATTATTGACACAATTCACGACAACTACCTGTTGGTCAACTTGGTCGATAACGATTATGTCGCTGGGAATTGTTTGTTTGAAGCAATAAAGAAAGCTGTTGAACTGGTAGACACGAAGGAACAAACCGATGCATCCGTCGTAACCAAAGATGATGGGATTAACTCTGGCTAGGCCAGTAAAGCTTGTTGTCTTCATCGGAATAGAAATAATATGCTTGCTCTCAAAGAAAGTCGATTCACTTGTTGGAATACCATATTATTCTCGCCAGGCTCAGCCGTTACGCTATATCGAGTATCGACCTACAATGTGGACTGTACTTCTCCAATATACCGTAGTGTATTTGCGGAAGACTTCTGACTCCATCAGATCTACTGAACCAACATGTCAGTTGTTAGATGGCTGCGAGGCCTTCACATATAGAACTATAAGTCTTGCTAATATAATACCTCTCACATAGAGTATGCTTGTCATTTTCCTGTCACAATGAACATGATTCTGATTCATTTCCTGTAATTTTTTAATTAAAGAGATTTATTAATTGCTCGAAAGCACATCAAATAGATGAATACAATCGACCTTGTGTTAAGGGTTAAATGATTTTGCCACTGATCGTTTAGGGACCGGTCATAAAGTAACTGCTAGAGTGGGCCGGAGGGAAAAATAGATTAACCAGAAAAAAAACAACGGTGGCCCATCCTGAGAACCTAGAAAAAATTTCAAAACCCATCGTAGGTCATTGGAAAAATTTCAGGAGGCATCCTGCTATACATGAATATGTACAGTATAGCAGTCACTTTGATCAAATTACTAGTTACAGTATGTATTGAGTGCAAACAAGCTATATGTGTTTATGGCCCATCCATTTGCGCGAAAAACAAATTGATGACCCACCCAAACTGATGAAAATAATTTCATGGCCCATCCTTATTTCCTCCGGCCCATCCTAGCAGTTACTTTATGAGCGGTTCCTTAATACAAGTTGATCTAATACATATATCTACAATGTCGTTAGATCTATCCTGATTGGTTTGAATCCATAACTATTTTGTTCAGGATTCAAAAAAGGCGCGTCTACACGTATCCGGTTTGCTTGAGTTTACGTCCAGACGTATCCACGAGAACGATACGAGTATGTTAACCACTCGATAGAGAACGATACGAGTATGATTATCCACTATAGATAGAACTAATTGTTGAAGGGTTTTGTAGCGTCAATATATAGTTGCATTTTTTGCAACTGCTTTTGGTTAGCTCTAATATAATGCACAGAATTCACACACGAAATTTCCATTTACAAAAGCCTTCAACAATTAGTTATATCAGTGTAAATGCACAGAATCCTCAGGGAAAACAACGCCGGCTATACTGGCCTGCTATACTTTTTTAAGAACTATCAAAACAATGTCAAACCAACAAAATTGTCTCGGTGAGTAGGATGAAATGTTCCCACATAAACACAAGACAAATTTATTCTACTCTAATACCGGGTTGTCTTGCTAACTACCGGATGTCCCCAAAAAAACTTGCGCTGTGTGATTTCATGTATCGTAAAAACTATAGAAGCTATTACACCAACTTAGATCTTGATATACAGCCCAATAAACATGTCATGTAATATTACGTGAGATACAAACCCAAACCACGTAAGATAATCCGTGTCGAGCCATGTGAAGATGCACGTTTCGACCAAATTGCGCACTGGCCAGTGAAAAGAGACAAGCGTCGTCGCTGTGCAGTTTGCAAAACCATCAAAACTGATACGTGTTGTGAGAGAAATGTGATGTTCCTCTGTATTTCAACGAGCGCAGAAATTGCTACAAACTGTAACATATAAAGTAGTAGTATAGTAACTTTGTATATATGACAAGTTACTGAAGGTAGTATGTCTTACTAGTGCCTCTTTTCAATGCCTTAGACATTGGCATCATAACAGAAGAATATTCTTGTTCAAACTATGACATTTATATAATCCAGTAGTGACAGTAAATCTCTCAGAAAGACCAGTGGGTCACATATGAACCGAGTCCTAAATTGGGGGCAAATTGACGGAAATCCCCCAAACATATTTTTATAGTTTATCTAGCCTGTTTTGTTAGTTTTTAGACTAAAAATAATTTTTCTTAATGATAAAAGATGTCTTGGGTTCTACAGGGTTAAAAATGAATAAAAAAATCGAGAAACACGGCTGATCAAATTTATACGGAAACAATTGCCATTTCCCCCCAAAATTAACAATTTCAATTTTAGCATCGGGTAATGTCCTAGTAAAGTTAGCGTTTCGTTTTTCTAATTGGGAAACGTTAACACCTTCGTTCACCATACTTAACCGTTTGGATGGCGGTGTTAGACCGGGTGACCGAAGGTTGGCCTGGGACGACTACAGGCCTTGCTGTTACCATTCTCGTACCCAGAGCTCGGTTGACCGTGCGTAAGAAGGGCTCTGGGTACGAGAATGTACTGTTAC